ATTTCTCTAAAAATCGATCATATTCTTCAATATTACTACTGTATATAACAATGTCGTCCATATAAATTTCTACCCCTTTCCCTTTAAAATCTCGAAAGATATTATCCATAATCCTCTGCAATATTTGTGGCGAGTTTTTACATCCCATAACCATTGAATTCAATTCGTACACTTGTCTATTGAACTCAAATGCAGTCTTAAACTTATCCTGCTTTCTTATCTCAATATTATAAAATCCATCTTTAAGATCCACCACCGTCATAACTGTTGCACCTTGCGTTGCTCTAACTACGTCTCGTATATTCGACGATTGATATTCGTCTTTTTCTACTATATCGTTTAATGCAATAAAGCTACTTACCAATCTGATACTTCCATTCGGCTTTCTAAGTGTCCTAACCGGATTTCTCCAAGTCGATGTAGATCTTCTTATATTCCTTTTTTTTAAATTTCCTAAACGTATCACCGTATCCTTAATTAACGCCTGAGGGACAGTCTGTCCCTTCTTAAAAACCTTCTTTCCTTCCTCAGTTATAATTTTACATTTTTTTAGTTTACAATAGCTTATCTTACTATCATCTTCAACCAAAACTTCTCTAAATTCTTCTGTATAATCCTCTAAATTGGGCTTCTTCCTTTTGCTTCCTACTCTACTCTCATAACTGATTACTGGCTTACTTATTTTGATTCTACCCTTTTCGGTCTTTCTATAGCCCCTTTCCTTTATAATTTCAGAACCGCTTTCGGCTTCGCCGTCATAAATAAAATACTTAGAATCACTTTTATTAATATTATATCTTTCCTCCAATAGCAACTCCTAGCCACGCGTCCAGGTATGTCGCAGTAAAAACATCTCCTTATAGAAACTCCACCCTCTCTTTTATGATTCATCATTTCTTCCTTGACAGTAGTAATTACATTTCAATTAAATTTTGTAAGTCCATAGCTCTTTCCTTTTCTTCTTCCTCCTCTCTAACTTTCCTTATTAACTTCATTCTCAAATCTTCAACTTTTTCTTCCTTACTTACATTTCTAACCATAAAAATTTTTAAAGATCTGCTCGCCCTCTCAAAAATCCCATTCTTCCAGAACTCTTCCTCAACAATTTCTAATTCCAAAGCATACATCAAAATCTCTAGCTCTTCTAATACTCTTCTGTCCTCCTGGCCACAGTCATCACTTGACAACCCAACTGTTTGTATCGCTTCCATATTAGTGCTTAACATAATTGGGGTTTAATAAAATAATAAATTATAACACAAGATGTATTAAATATCAAATATCTCTTTCTATAAAAACAAATTCCTTGTTTATGAGTTTCAAAATGCCAGCAGTTAAAACTTAGGAAAAAGTTTTTTACATTGCCTACGACTTTTAAAGCAGCCAAATACTAAAGATCCTTTATATTAAAAAAAGTATTAATTAAGTTGAGAAAGATTTTATTAGAAAGAATATATAATTATTTTGTGCACAACCCGGTAAAATAAAAAGATTTTGGAGTAGTAGTACAAATAGATGAAATTAAAATGAACTATAACGTAAAAAATTATCAGTGCAGATCTATATCAGCTTGTTGGGTCTCTGTTATGGTTAATACATTTTTCACGCCTGCTTTTTGAATCTGCTGCGTTGTAACTGATCGTACAGCAGATAAATCTCTACCTTTAATTTATTCAGTAATCATTAAAGGCAGTATAATTCATTTCGATTAATGGACTTCTTTTGAAGAATTGGGTAGATCTGATTTATATGAACACAAAAAGGGATGTCACAAGTATAATTTTATAAATCCCCGAACCGGTGTGACACCCAAAAGGTGGAATCTTTCAATACTAAACTTAAATTAAAAATCAAAGAAATACGTAGCCCTGCATTGTCGCAGAAAAAGGGATGTTTTTTTAGAATTTATGTACAAAGAAAGGCATACTAATTGTCACAGCCTATAGGAACTGGAAGCCATAGCGACTGCGCCATGGCTTCAGTCCCAATATACGATCTAATAAATAGCCAATAAGTTTGTAATAAATAAAAATATTTTAATACCCATTCTTTTCCCCATTAAAAATTTAGGAAAATTTTAGATTTTTTAATTTTTTTTTAACCCCTATGTATATTGAATTGACAAACTCAGAAAGAGAAGAGATCATAAATTTCTTGGACACCCAAATTATACCATCGTCGCTTCAGAGTAGCACAGAGGTGGATACTTTTAAAAGATGGTGTAGAAAAATTTGTGTTAATTCCGCCTTTAAATGAATTAAGATCCAAAAAGGCGGGTGTATTGTTTTCGAGATTTTTTACGTGTGAAGAAATCATTTTTAGAGATGAATTTATATTGCTACAACATAATCTCAACGGGCATGCAGGGCGTGATAGGCTTTTCTTATTGCTTCAAACACCTAAATGTGGTATAAAAGATGCGTTGGTGCAATCTATTGTTAATCAATGTTCAACCTGCCACGCACAGAGAACCATGGTTACTTGTCCCGTAATTACTTCTATAATAGCTCAATTTCAAGGGAACGTTATATAGCAGATCTTGTTGATCTCAGATATTATTCAAACCAAAACAGCGGTTTAAAGCGGTTATTTGTAATAGTTGATTTATTTTATAAATACTTCTGAACTGCTGCTTTGTTTGAAAAGGGTTCCTTGTCTGTTAGTAATACGTTTAGGAACGTGTTCAGCACCTTTGGCTCTCCTTTTATACTTCATACAGACAATGGTAAAGAATTTTGCAATACCGGTGTATCAGATATATGTAATGAATTTAATATTAGGCATGTTAAGGGTAGAGCAAGATGTTCCCGGATTCAAGGCCGGGTAGAGCAAGATGTTCCCGGATTCAAGGCCGGGTAGAGCGATGCAATCAAACCCTTTAATACATGATAGGGTCTACTTTGCGTACAAAAGGTATGGTGGGTAGATGGACAGAAGTTAGAGAACGAATCGCATATTCACACAACGATCTTAGGCATTCAACTACTGCACAGACACCGACAAATCTGGTTTTTTGTAGACCAATTCATGAAATTTTAAACTTTGAGAGGGCCAACGAATTGTATAATTTTTAAGAAAATGAATTAGAAATTTTAGACCGTGGGGATGCTGCGAAAATTGAACCACTGCCAATTTTAGATGAAGAACCGGATTTACCTTTTATTTATCGGGACATACTAGCTCTTAATGAATAAAACGGAAGTAATATAAATAATATGAGGTCTATCACTCATAAATCTATTTACAGAGCTGCAGAAAGAATGATAAGAAACGTTGGGTGGCGATATGATTGTTTTGATTTTGAAATTGGAGATCGTGTAATGATAAGACCAAGTCTTGATAGCAATTTATCTACAAGACGTAGACATTTATATGAGCATCTTGATACTCGAGTTTACATAATAGTAAAATAATTCGGGTCAATAAAGTCAAGCTTATCAGCAAAGACGATACTAATAATATAATCGAAGAAATTGCTACTTCTCTGTTCTTACAAAAAATCAATATATATAAAAAGTTTGAATCTAAATATTTTTTTATTTTTTAACCCCTCTTTTTAAAAATTTGTAAAAATCTTTGTATTTTTTATTAAGAACGAGAAGCATCATTTGGGGGTTCATTTCACTAAACACAGAACGGTGTTTTTGTGCATTCTCTCTTCCTTTTATATAGGTAAGATAATCTTAGTCAAGTTGTCTATAGCAGATTCTAAATTTTTATAAAAAAGGTAATTTGTAGTAAAAAATAACAAGTACATACACAAAGGCATGTCATATTTATTTTAAAGAAAAAACACACATTATTTTTGTAATCCCGTTTTAAACGGGATGGCGTAAGCTATCAATCATTAATATATATATAAAAAGTTTGAATCTGAATATTTTTTTATTTTTTAACCCTTCTTTTTTTCAAAGTGTGAAATTCTGTTTTAATTTTTCACTTAAAAGCACTAAATACAACTTAGAGATTTTTATAGAATTGTTGCTAAAAGGATATTACGGAAGTTTGTGTATTTTTATTGGGGTTTTTCAATTTTTTTGTAATTGCAAAATAGTCTCTATGGCAAATTTTACTTTACAATGTAAGACATTTTGCACTTTAAACAATGCGCCCAAGCCTAAAGACACGTTAACAATGAAAAATTAAAAAATATATCGTATTTATAATCCCGTTTTAAACGGGATAGCGTTAGCTAGTAATAAATAAAAACTTATTTAGTATTTTTTTTAAATTTTTAAAGTAACTACAGTTAATGGTGTAATATAATTCTTCTAATTTGATTATTTTATTAATTCTTTTATTTCGAAATTCATTTTACAAAAAAATTATATAGTTATATTTGAGATTACATACTGCGTTTCACCTAAGAATCCAAACCCAAGCAATGTTTAAAAAATACAAAATTATAAATTGAAACAAACTAGCAAAGTTGTTTTATTAAAGATATTAAGTACAACAAGCTTAATATATAAATGTTAATCTAAGCGTTGATGTGAAACTGACGACGTTATTATAGTTGGTAGTTACTCTTAAACTATTGAGCGTTTTCTTCTTGTTTTACGGTACGAATCCCAAAGGCGTCAGTTTTGCTTAATAAAAAATGCTTCCTCGACGCCTGATGATGCCACTATAAAACCTAAAATTATAGGAGTACTTTTAAACCTCGCGTTAGATACGTTATAAGATTCCTACCAAAAAGATTCACGGCCCGCGACGCCACGTTATTCTTGTCAATATGTAGATATTTTTTCATGTTAAATTTTTGTGTATCCTTCTTTCTAAAATTTTTATTTATAGAAAATAAAATTCTAGAAAATTCATAAAGATAAAAA